AGCCGTCTCTACACATGCCGAAGATTAAAATTGGACCCATATTATTCACCATGCACTAAGAACTTAATATGAAAACAGAAACATTAAATCTGCTAGAAGATAGAATAGATATAACTCTTGAAGACACTAGTATAGGAAAAGACTTTATAAACAAAACTTTGATTGCATAGGAACTGTAGCAAAGAATCAACAACTGGGATTCTCATCCTATTCAAAAGCTTTTTGCACAGCAATAGAAACCACCAACAGAGTGAAGAGACACCCACAACGTGGGAGAGAGTGTTTGCCAGCTGTTCCTCAGACAAAGGATTACTATTCAAAACATATAAAAATCTCAAAAAAAAATCAGTCCTCCCAGATTTAAAGACCCAATCCAAAAATGGGCATCTGAGATGAATACACACTAGTCAGATGCAGAAATAGGAACAGCAAGTAAACGTATAAAAAATGTTTTTAAAAAAAAGTCCAACATTGCTGGTCATTCGAGAGATACAAATTAAAACAACACTGAGATTCTACCTTACCATAGAAAGAATGAGTTCTATCAAGAAATCAAGCAATAACAAATGCTGGTCGAGCTGTGAGGAAAAAGGAACCCTTCTCCACTGTTGGTGGGAATGCAGACTGGTGAAACCACTGTGGAAATCAAAAAATGAGGATTGGAGGTCTCATTTGGCCCAGCGATTCCCCTTAGGATTATCTTCCCAGAAGAATTAAAAACATCATACCACAGTGATATATTTGCATGCATGCTTATAGCAGCACAATATGTAATAGCCAGATCATGGAAACAGCCTAAATGCCCATCGACTGAGGAATGGATAAAAAGACATGGCACTTTTATACAATGGAGTACTACTCAGCTATAAAGGAAGACAAACTGGAGACTTTTATAGGTAAATGAACGCAACTCGAGACCATACTCACAAGTGAAATAAACCAGACTCATGCGTGTAAACACCCTGTTGTTGCATTAGGGTGAGAAGCTGCAAGAAATGACATTATGTACAGACGTATATGGGTTACAAACAAGGTAGTTAAGACAGTAGTACTACTACTGGTTTTTCTGAGGTCATTCAAGAGGAAGATTTGAGTGATATTGTTCACACCACTGAATGTGCTCTGGGTGAATGATTTGGGGATGACAGTGCACAATGCGCACTGTTTACCATCGTTGCCCTCTGGTTGACGTGTCTTGAAATTTGGTTTCATTTGTTTTTCTTTGAAATAAAATGGATTTGGAAAACAAAAGAGAACTATAGTCAATATTAATGGGAATGGTGGTCAGTAATAGCAGCACAGGTCCCAAACAGGGGAAGTAGGGTGACTGCTAGTTTCTGAGGAAGGCCGCTAGCCACCAGCGGCCTACTTTCCTGCCGAACCACACACAAGCCCTTTCTCTTCTTCTGACAGAACCCACCTGGTTCTCCTCCACCCTACTTCTGTTGATGGCTGCAGTATCCAGTTTACTGAAACTTAACATTTCTGACTTCTCTGCCCCCACCTGGAGCTCCCAAGTCACCATGGTCCCTCTGCCTAGTCACGTGACTGTCCCCATTGCTTTCTGGTCGTCCTGTCACTATTGACAAGTGCTTTGATTCAGAGCTCTATAAGGACTGTTTTTCTCTGCAGCATGAAATCATGATGGGTACCGAACCTCACTGAAGCTAGAACACGGAATAGAGGCCTCTGCTTCTTTTGCAGGTCTTGGAAAACTGCCCAGTTGGAGGAGTTCATTTCTCAGGGAAGCCACGGTGCCAGTTTCAAATGGCATCCAGGGGGCAATGACCTGGCGCTGCTTCTGTTTTGATCTTTATAGCCCCAAAGCAGTTAGGACCGTGTGCCTGTAGCACAGGAAACTGGAAGGCCAGCCTTTTCCCCCTTTGAACTGCTGGCATTGTTTCACTGTCTTTCACTACGTAGGAAAGGCCGTAAGGAGCAACTGAATTTATAGCTTAGCTATGGTCAGAAGGAACAGGAACTGGCGTTCATTATATACAATGAAACCACAGAACGGCTTCAAAGAGTAGTTTTATGCAATCTTTTTCAACCGTCCAAACTCAATCTTACACCATTTAAGTTGATTTTTTACATTATTGCCTGTTTATAGCATCCAACAGATGTTTTCTTCAGAAAGAAATGTACAAGAAGTAGAGATGCACTCTTCAAGCAGGTGTGGGCAGGTAATGGCAGTAAGCCCAGTGGTTAGAGCTTGTGAGTCTCTTCAGGTGTGTGTTGCATCTGGGGAAGAGCAGGGTTTGCACTCAGTTTGCATTCTGGGAGCCTGTTTCCTCTTGCAGAGAACTGAGATAATAATACTGTAAGCTCCTCAACCTGACATCGAGCCATGTGTGGCGGGCAGCACACAGTATCCCTGCCCAGTCCCCCAAGCCTTCCCTGCTCTCCCTACCCTTCAGCTCCTCCTGCAGCAGATGGCCTGTCTGGGCAACAGGGCAAGCCCAGGTCACTAGAAGTCCCAGTGACACATTTACTTTGTTCCCATTGTCTAGGTAAAAGCAATAGTTCTCAGTGGAACGAAGACTTAGGAAAAAACTACATTGTTCGGAGGACGGGCTCATTATTTATAGGTTTTTCGCACATGCCCAGGGACCATGGAGGCAGCTGGTCTTTGGGAGTCAAAGCACACAAATCACCACCAGAGCTTCTCCAGGCTCCTTCATGTAATTCCAGGCCCAGGAGGAACCCAGTATTGCCTCCCCTCAGCCTCACGGCAAGGGTTTAATAAGGACCAGGTTAGTGTATAAGGGCATCTGCTCCTGCTTAACAACAATGACAAGCAGCCATTGGAATGACTCTTCCGAGCCTCGTAAAGCTGGGGTGAGATATTTTCCATGTCGTCCTTCGGTTCTCTTTTTAGAGGCTCATGGAATCAATTCTGACTCGAGCTGCCTACAGATGAATTTTATCCTCCTGATTATCCAGAAACAAAAACTGTGCGATCCAGCACCATTAAATTTGCTTTGCCTGCCAGACAACAGGTAGTCAGTTTACTGCCATGTGTCCCTTTCATTCAGTGTCAATGCCTTGCAGTTCTTTCTTCCTACATCCCCCAACAAGGCCTGTAGGACTCCACTGCTAATTGTGTCATCTCACCACACCTTCCACTTGAGTTCTTGTAGAGCAAGACTCCAAGGAAAAATACTAACTCACTTAATTCAATATTATCACCACCAACAAAAAGCACGGTCAGCACTGTAAGCAAAAGTGAATAGATTATTACACAGATAGCTAACATTTCTGTTCAGAAATCACAGTGTTAAAGACTCAAGGCTGTCTGATGAGGCCAATCACATAGGTGTGTAAGAGCAAAGGTGCCCAATCCTAGGGTCAGGGTCCTGGATCAGATCGTAGGTCAGGCAGAGACTCTCCAGGTCAAGTTATTTATCTGCTCAATGCTTCCAGTCAGCATAAAAAGCTTTGAAAATCCATGAAACAATTAGGGCACAGTAAACTCTCAATAAATACCAAATTAACTCTTTCCATGCCCTTTCCCTCATTTGTGAGGACAATAGTCCTGTCAGTGATCAAAAGTCTGACATTCAAATACTGAACAGTAGGTTAACTTGCTCGAGGCCCAGCAGGTTGTTGTCCCTGAAATGTTGAAGACTGGAAAATCCTGAATTTTACTTTCTCCAGGAACCGCCTTTTTCAAATTCCAGCAGTCAAGGTCATGAGACAGTCTCCAACAGGCACACGCGATGGGCGGGGCAGCTGTGATCATGAGACAAGGCCCCGGGCTTGGTGACTCTAGGGTGCACGTGAGGATTTTCAAAACAACTGCTTGGCTTGCTCTCTCATGTAGACACCCCTTGGCACGGGGGCTGGCAGCAAGACACCGCTTGACCTGTGACCCCATATGCCTGGCAGCATCTCTACCCACTGGCGGCCAAGGGATGCAGTCATGGTTGGGGAGCCAGTCGGAAGGGACAGGATACAGCTGCCATGGAAGTCCAGCCTGGGCTGCAGCCACCCACCACCCTTGGCCCTGCTCCTCCCAGCCCCAGCAGAAGGGCCAGCTGCACACTTTCTTTAGGCTCAGTGTCCTCAGCAGTCAGATGACACAGGAGAAAGCCGGCAAGCATGTGGCTCGCTATGTTCCGCACGTGGTGCTTAATGACTTCCACGGCACTCTTGTTCAGTATACAGTGTTTAAGGGCAGGAACGTGGGAAGCCTGAGAGCCGGTTCTTGGAAAGTTAAGATCCATTTATTCTTGGTTTGTATTTTACTTCGTGGCATCCTTATTTGGAAGAGTCACAGCCAATGATAGCTTAATCTGATTTTTAAAGTATCTGATCATGCACATTTTAAAATATCCTAAAAATATTACAAAAAGTAGTATAAGGGGCTTTACCACTGAGCTGGCACACTAACAGGTCTAGGAACTACATAACTTGTGACTCTCGAGCACCGAAAATATGGCGATAGCTATCACAATTCCAGAGTTCTTATTTTATTTAATGTAATTAATTGACTTTAAAAACTAAAGTAGAAGAGGAAGCAAAAAGGATCAAGATGCAATATGTATATGATGTATTTATTTATTTGGGTTTTTTTTGTTTTGTTTTTGTTTTTGAGACAGGGTCTTTCTATGCAGTTTAGGCTGGCCTTGAATTCACTTTGTAGCCCAGGCTGGTCTCAAAGTTGCAATGATCTCCTGCCTCAGCCTCCTGAGTGCCAGAATTAGAGGTGTGCACTGCGATGCCTGGTTTATGATATATTTATTATGTATCACAAGTGTACACATTTCACTTGGACAGTTTCTCATGTAGGATATTCTTTTGTATACACGTGTGTAGCGACATGTACTGCTTCTAGTGTTACATGGAAACACTCCATTGATCCAGTCCCTGTTCACATTTGGATTCAGTGTTTGTGACTCTTTTGCTATATAACAACGTCACATTACGATGCGTTTCTTAGAATATTTGAGGCAGACAGCATAAGTTATGGTAACACTCATACAAATCATAACTGGAAATGAAAGAAAAATATCATTTTATTTTATTTTATTTTATTTTTTTGTGTTTTTGAGACAGGGTCTCACTATGCAGTTAAGGCTGTATTTTGTATCCCAGGCTGGTCTCGAACTTGCAGTGATCCTCCTACTTCAGCAAAAGATTTCATTTTAATTGCAACATAACTAAATTATCTTTCTAGTGTAAAATAAGTACGGACCATTTGCTAAATCAGCAATGAAAACATTTTACTAATACAGAATGATACAGAAGTGCAAATGTTAGTTCTATGACAGGAATGCTTTTTTTAGTGTTGGTGAGAATGTAAACTGGTATGACCACTAGAGAAATCAGTATGAAGAATGTACAAAAAACTAAAACTAGAAATGCCATTTGACCCAGCTATACTCTTTTGTCTATCTTCCTGAAAGAGCAAAGGTCATATTTCAATGCCATGTGCATACTCAAATTTATAGCAACACAATTTACAATAGCTACATTGTAGAAAGAACCTCTATGCCCATTAACAGATCAGTACAGAAAGTGTGATGCACTGCTGAGCCAGACAGAAGGACAAGTATGAGTCACTGGTAGGTAAACAGATGCAGTGTGAGCCCATAATGGTATGTAAAATACCAGGCATAGAAGGTCGCTTGAATAATTTCTCTAGTAGGCCATTGTTCTTACATGTAGGATATGAGAAACCCAAAATGTAAATATTTTAAAAGCAAAATAAGACAAATGAGAGGAAAGAGGGATGCAGACTTTGTGGAAATGGGAAGGCAATCAGAAAACAAAGAGGAAAGGCGGCGGGAAGGAGTAGAAAGGGTCAAGATGTTTTATATATATATACATATATATATATATATATGTACCATATATGTCTTTTTGCACCAACTCTCAAAAATAAAAGTATTATGTCTCACAAACATATAATAATATTAAAAAATTAAAATACTTTTAAAAGTCAACTTTGGTGGCACGCAACTTATAATTTTAGTACTTTGGGAGGCTGAGGCAGAAAGATCAAATTTTGGGGCCAAGCTAGACATAATGGCACATGTGTGTAACCCCAGCACATGGGAGGCAGAGGCAGGAGAATTGCCACAAGTTCAAGGACAACCTTGACTATATAGTGAGTTCAAGACCAGCTGGGACTATTCAGTGAGAACTCTGTCTCAAAAAAATTAAATTAAATTAAATTAAAATTAAAAAGCTAGAGGCAAGACTGGAGAATTTAGCAAGACATTATATCATTTCCTCAAAATTAAAAAATAAAATACACTGATGATGTAATTCAGTGTGAAGGCCTTGAGTTCAAACCACAGTATTGCAAAATAGATAGATAGCAATTGGCAGAAGATACATTGCAAGTTCCACAACAAGTGGCAATTGTAATTTGCTGAAATTGAACAAAAAGAAAAAACTAACTGCTTATTGTATATAATTTGTTTAAAGATAATAAAGTGTACTGTATTAAGAAATACTGGCAAATTTGTATTGAATTTGATAAATTTTCTCTCAACATCCCAAAAAGAATTGATATAATTACCTGAAATTAAAATTGAAAATCTAAGAAAAAAATTAAGTTTTTTTATTTTAAAAATTAAAGACTTTGTTATCAACAGTCCCAGTTTGTTCTTTGTCAGTTATTAACTTACTGTGATTCTCACATACACACATACACTTGCACACATATTTTTGGTGGAAAGATAGTAAAAGAAATTATTTCCATTACAGAAATTTTTTGAGGAAAAAATAAAAATTATATTTCACATAAAAAGCAACTTCAATTAGTTACCAACACAGTGGCTTAAAAAATGCAAGATCTTCACAATAACAAGATCAATTAATTCAAATTCTGAAAAACACAAGCTTTCTGTCTAAGTCTTTGATTTCTTTTTGCTTTAGAAGAGTCTGGAAACATAAAATACACTGCCCAGTTAGTACTTTGGGTATGTTTTGTCCCAAAACACTTTTTAATTTACCAAGAAATATTGTTTATTTGTGACCAAAAGTGTCAAACTCATGGTTTAGGTATTTTGTCAGTCCTTTACCTCTGACAGAGGGGAATTTGGGGTAGGTATTTAAATATTAGTTTCTAACACAATAAATGATTTTTTAAACGATGCTAGACCAAAAAACCAGATTTATTGGAATTCTTTCTAAAGACTAATGGATGTTTCCTTTATTTCTTTGTTTCACTGTGTGATGCAGCTTAAAAATATTTATGTTCAATTTTCTAAAGCTGATTCCTTGAGACACATCCTGGATACTGTTGCTAAGTGTATGCATGCAAATGCAATGAGTCGTTGTAAGTTTATGGATCGTTGTAAGTTTTGCTGAAAGAAGTAGAAGACAGTGGATTTAATGGCTCCTGGACCTCTTCGCCAAGGTTCTTTGCTTGAATTAGGGAAGAGTTTTACAAAGATTTACTATACTGCTGACTCCAATTCAAGATTGTTTTGAAAATCAAGAATATCAGTCTGGGCATTGTGGTGCACACCTGTAAGCCCAGCGCTCCGGAGGCAGAGACAGGAGGATTGACTTGAGTTTGAAGCCAGCCTGAATTACATACTGAAACCCTGTCTCAAGGAAAGAAAAACAGGAAAAGAAAAGAAAGCATATTTTTCAAGAAGTTAAAAATAAAGGGGCTGGGGATATGGCTCAGCAGCACAGCACTGACTGCCAAATGCAAGGCCCTGAGTTCAATTCTCAGTACAAAAATGAATACATATATACATACATACATGAAGACAAATCTTGCTACTGTGATTTCCACATCAACATTCCTGTATCTGAATGAGTCAAATTTGAGCTTTCCAGGAAAAGAAAAGCTTCGCTGTGGTGTAGCTACACAGATGTGGAAGTTTAAATTCTAACTTTGTAATTTAATAAGTAGCAATGATCTATGCGGTTTTCTTACATGAGTGCATACACGGAGGATTTTAACAATGATGGATAGCATTATGTAAATTGGATGTAAAAGAGTGAGAAAAATGTAAAGGAAGGATTGACAATGATAAAGATCTGCTTTAATTGATCCATACTGTTTTGACTTCCCCATAATAAATTTCCCTCACCTAGGTAAGACATAGTCAAAATGATTACTATTAAAAAGATGGACCAGTTTTGTCAATGTGTATGCAAACATCAGATATCAATGATTTTTCAGCTAATAGAAAACTTCTAAGCATGTTTGGAATACCTTATGTATGTCACTCTTCCAAGTGTAAATTTTATAAAATAACATTTTTTAAGTCATCAATTTTCCATTAAAATCACGCACTGAAATCTGGCAAGTTGGAAGTGCATTATATACACTTAGAAGAAAAAAATCTAAACTGTCTCAATATTTTTATCCTGATTACACACTAATGATAATAATTTGGTGGCATTAGGTTGCACAAAGAGTGTTATTCAAATCAACTTGCTTGTTTACTTTGGTTTTTAAATGAACTATTAAAATGTAAATGACCGACACATGTCTGGCATGGCAGTCACAGGGCCCTTGGTCTGGGGGTTGCATCAGCTCTCCACAGTCAGCACTGCCCTCAGGGGTTTGCAAGCACAAGACGGGTGGGTGCATGCATGGGCTCTGGATGGGAACAGGTACCTGAGTGGGGGCAGAATTCTTCTGACTGCAGATAAAGAGCTGGCGGGTACTTGCTGTTGTCTTCCTGCTGTTTGCTCTTCTAGTTATAAAAGAAAATGACAGGGCAAGTCACTTTCACAGGGACCAGCAAGATTTCCTCTGGAAATCTAGCTGGCTGGCTAACACGCATCAGAATCTATTCAAGGAACAGAGGGAAGTAAAGAATCTTTTCCCTGGGAAGTATGCAAGGAAGTCACAGCAGGCTTTTGGTCCTGGGACAATCAGCAGTTCAAAGCACAGAACGAAAGAAATCCTGACTTTCTGGGCCTCTGAGAAACTGGAACTCTTTGACAGTGGAAACTTCCCCTAAGAAAGCAAAAGCCTGATTTTACGAAATAAGAAAAAATAGGCTTAGGTGGAGAAGTGGGTAGAATTAAAGGATAGAGTTTAGCAGGAGAAAGTTACTTCATTTGCTTTTATGTGTCATCATTTCATTACTTCCTCTACAAAACAGAAAAGACTTATTGTGACACAATCACTTATTTTTGATTTGAAGCATCATATTTGGAGGGAAGAGCAGCACAAGTGGCCAGATCGTGCTGCCGTCTTGCTGAGGGTGCTTTGGGGATGGTGGGTGATGTTGGCTTGGAGAGAAAGGGGTGCCGTGGAGAACCAACGCATTCTCCAGCAGGGAAGGTCGATTTCAGACATGCAAAGGTCAAGGACACAAGCTCTTCTCTGGCAGCCCTTGCACCTCAGCCTCGGGCTGCGTCTGCATCACCTGGACTCCGGAACTCCAGTCCCTGGCACCAAGCCTGGCACCACGTGGGTGGCCAGCATCATCCGTTGGCCAGGACAGAGAAGTGAAGTCATTTCCACAAAGGTGCCTGTTGTCTAATCAGCAGTCCGAATGCAAATCACAAGAAATCAAATAAATATAATTATTTGATGCTTTTGTATTTTATTTCTATTTATTTTTAAATTTTTTTTAAAAACAGTCTTCACCATGTTTATAGGAAAGACAGTCACTATGCATGACCCAAGAGCAATACCCCTCACTGAGTTCTCACCCACTAAATAGTCTGTCATGGCTGGAATCCACACCCATCCCCCATCGCCCTAATTGGAAACCTGCTCTAAATGATCTGCATGCTGGGACAGCAAAAACTTACAATTTGAGTGCAAGTCTGGGCACGAGACTACAGGGCGCTCTGAAACTTCTCTCCACAGCTTCACCTGGGAGATGGCTTCTCTTTCGCTTGTGCCATTTCTGCTTAAATGTGTGTGTGTGTTCTCGCTGTCATCATCTCTGTGCTTTTGAGCCTGTGAAAAAGAGAATTCTCAAAAAGTCTATGAAAAAAAGTACATGAGCCAAAGAGGCACGCCAAGGTCCACTTACTAAACAACAAGCAGAGAGTGGGAAAAACTTTATGCCAGAGGAAAAAAGCAAAAGCCAGGCAGTGGAAAGGACAGCACGATTTTATCTGATCCTAGGCAACACAGTTACACTCAGCGTTTGCATGTTCTGACTAATGAGCTCATTGTATGGAATCAGCGTTTCAAATTTTTGCATACCTTTCAGAAACCTCCATGGATTTCTTCCACAGATTATGAGCATGTTTCAGGGATACCTGGGGAAATCAGTTGGGGTTTTAAGAAATGCTGTTTAATTTTCTGGTTTAAGGTAATGAAATATAGGGCCAGGGATTTAGCTCAGTGGTATCGTGCCTTCCTGATAAGTGCAAGGTCATGAGTTTGATCCCTGGTAAAAAAAAAAGGTAGTAGTATATAGATTCAACCTGTCTGAAAGTGTGAAAAGCAAAATGCTTTCAGACAGAGCTGGGTGTGAGAGGAACAGGACCCTTGACGCCATAGGCTGAAAACCGATTAGACAGTGTTGAAAATAAGCGTTTTTATACTGGGAAATCCCTTTAATCACAAAGCATGGAATATTTTTGTTGTTCCTTAGAGATCTTTGGCAAGCAAATGATTCTAGATAATACTCTATGAAAAATTCAAAACGCCTCTCTCGTGGTCAAGTTGGGATCCCGAATCAAAATCTTTCACATGCACATACACACATTTAAAGTATTTCTGACCTTTCATGCTCTTTTTGTCCCTGAAAGAAAGAAAACCATCGACTATGGGAGCCTCCCCCCACCCCATTGCTGGTCCCTGGCTCGGATGGCTGGACTCTAATTGCCATTGTCTTTCCCCAGTAAATACAAAGCTTCCAGAATTCTCTGTTCAGACAATACATACTTAATCATAACAGCTTTGGCTTCAAGTTCGTGTTTATTTTTATGTCAGGTTGAAATGTCTCCCTCCAGTGATGGAGGTCCGGCCATGGTACAGATGTCTTTAGCCCGCTATGGTCACTCAGTCAGCAACCTGCCTTCCTCTAGAATTGGTTCTCTGGGGTTCTCTCCAACCTCCCATTTGGCAGACCCTCTATTTTCAGTTAAGGGTCCTGCTCAAAGCTACTTTATGCCCTTCAGTCTTCTTAGATGCACATGCCAACACAAGATGTATGTTAAATAATTTTTTAAAATGAATGAATGGGGGCTGGGGGTTTAGCTCAGTGGCATAAGCGCCACTAAATAGTGGCAGTTGTGAGTGAGTTTGATCCCTGGTACCAATAAAAACGAAAAAGACCAAAAAAAAAAAAAAAAAAAAAAAAAAAAAGAAAGAAAGAAAAAAGAAAAAAAAAAGGAATGAATGGATACCATCACCAATTCTGAGAGACTAAGAACTAAAGAAGAGTTCAGTCACAGGATGGTCTAGATATCTGAATTTTCCTGCTATAAAATATAACAAAATATAACCCATGACCCTTTAAATGCAAAGCTGAGCTCACAGGAAAGTAAGAGAAATACCTAAAGGAATAAGAAATCAGATGCATAGATCTGTACTCATTGCTGTCCATGCCCAGCTTTGCCTAGCTGCCCAGGACTTCTTCCACTGAACAGAGACTTGGCTTTAAAGATCATAAAGAGTGAAAATACATCCCTTCTCTGTGGACCTGGAGCCCCCAGAAAGCTCAACAGAGGGGTGGAAGCACAGGGGTTACTTACTTTGGAAAGAAGGATCAGAAGGAATGGGCTCCACGGCTAGAGACCTAGGGAAGATGAATCTAGCCTTTCCTGTTATTCCTTTCTGAAACCTCACTAAAATCAGAGCAAAAAGAATTTCTAACCCACAATCCACAGGAACAAAGAGCTCAGGAAAAAACATCTGGATGGTAACTTACCGAAAGTTGGAAACATAAGGACTGATAACTGACTTACAAAGTCCTCAGAGGGCTGAGCAAACACCAACACTAATCCTGCAGTGGGAAAGCTGGAAAAACAACTGAATTTTTATGACAAAAGTACCCAGGAAGTGCAGACCTGGCAGGAGGAATCTTGAAGAAATGAGGGTAAATTTGAAGTTAACATGAAATGCTTAGTTGGAAGTCAATTTGAGAAGCAATCAGGACCCACATTTTCACTACTGCCACTTATCCTGCCCTGCCATGCCCGGTGGTCACAGCAAGGTGACCAGAGGTCTCACTGTGGCAGGATATGAGGTGGAGGCTCTGGACCACCATGCTCAGCTCCTATTTCAGGGGACATTATCTCTGAAAATAGCCGGGCTGGTGGCGTGCAGGTCTCCCCAGCCCATTTCTGGGCTGGCTCTCAGGATAGCTGCAGTGAGGATTACACACCCAAGACGGGAAGAAAAAATCTTTCTGGGACCTTTGATGAGCACAAAAGAAAGGACCTGCAGCTACTGATGACAGGGCTTCCCCGAATACATGAACACACGTCTTACCGCCCCCTCAAGGCCTGACTCTCAGGTCCAGGGAGCCCCAGTAGTTATTAAAGGTAAGCAGCTATCAAAGAAGGCATCTGTCCTGAAAGATAAAGACCAAAACAAATAAACAAAGGGACAAACAGGGAAATAAAAGGCCACTGGGAGGAAACAGAGACTGCAGGAAGACCTTTTTTTTTTTTCCTAAGAATTACCATCAGGATCCTTAGCAAGATAAGAAAAGACACACCCATAAAACAAACCTAAAATGCCAAAAATAAAGACAAACAAGAAAAAGAAACCTAATGTTCAGAAAATAAATGAAGAAACATTGTGAAAACAAAAAACACTCAAGAAGTTAAAAACATAAAGTTCAGAATCACTCAAATGAAGCAAAAAAAAAAAAAAAAAAAGAAAAGAAAATGGAAAATATTACTGAAAAGAGATGACAGCCAAAGAACTAGTTCAGAAAGCCAGCATAAAGACAAAGAAGTAATGCAAGACATTTCCTCCTCAGGAAGCAGAGACATGGGTTTATCAGGAAGCCAGTTACACGGATAAATGCATTACCAACGCCAAGGCTCTCTTGGCTTCTCACAGCACTGAGGAATACAGAGAAGGGGGCACAGGTTTGAAACAGAAGAAAATGTGTCCCATCAGAGATCGAGAATTAGGACAGCATTCGATTTCTTCCCAACAGCAACTGTGGGGCCTGAAAGAGGCAGAGCCGTGCCTTACAGTTTTAGAACTTCAAATCAATTTGTAACCAAGAATTCTGTTCTTTGCTATGAGAGCAGGTTAAAGACAATTTCAAAGGTGTAAGTCATAAAAAGGTTTATGGTACATTGTTTCTCAGGAAGCTGGCAGAGGACACACTTGTGGCAAATGAAAGAGTAAACTAATAAAGAGAAGGTGAGGTACAGGCCACAAGAAATGCAACAGGGCAGAGAAGCAGGGAATTCCTAGGAAGGACTAACGGGGTGGCCTGGGACGTGAGCTGCTGAATCCGCCTGCCTATAATATTTCTGTCTAACTCAGTTGCCTATAACAGTAAGAAAAAAAAGTTCAAAAGTTTTTTGCTTTACCAATAAAAATAATTTATGTAGCTATAAAATAGAAATGAAGATTACTAGGTAGTTACCAACAAAAGAATAAAAAACTTTAAAGTGGGACAAATAAAAATGTGAAATAAGATAGTAGAAAGAAATCTAAATTGCAAGTAAGTATAATAAATGTGAGTGGACTAAAAACTTACCAGCTAAAGAACAGAAAGATAGCCGGAGATTTAGCTTAGTGGCATAAGCGCCTGCTTAGGAAGTGCAAGGTCATGAGTTTGATCCTTGGCACCAAAAAAGAAAAAAAAAAGGAACAGAAATATTACTGGGTATGGTGGTACATGGGTATTACTGTAATTCGAGCACCTGGGAAACTGAGGCAGGGAGATGACTGAGAGTTCAAGGCCTGCGTACACTACACAGTGAAAGCCTATCTAAAGAAAGAGAGAAAGAGGCAGAGACAGACAGGGATGGAGACAGACAGACAGAGACGGCAACAGAGACAGAGAAAGCAGAGATATTAAAGTGAACTTTGGAAAATTGAGCTATGTATTTTCTACAAAAGACATGTGTTAGATGTAAGGACCCAGGATGTAGAAATGTCAAAAGTAAAAGAATGAAAAAAGATATTTCACATGCATATTAATAGAAAAAGGGTCCACGTTGTTATACTAAGCAAAATAGACTTATATAGATTTTCATGAAAAGTCCTAAAGATTAAGAAATCTGGGCATGGTGATGCATACCTGTAATCCCAGCACTTGGGAGGTGGAGGCAGGAGGATCTCTGTGAGTTTGAGGCCAGCCTAGGCTACATAGTGAGCTCAAGGCCAGTCTGGACTACATAGTAAGACCTTTTCTCAAAAAACTTTCTTAAAAGTTATGAAAATCTTTAAATATTAATAAATCTTCAGTCATTATTAAAATATAACAATTATATCCTATTCCATACCTAATAATATGCTTTCAAATATACTGTGCAAAACCTGATAGAAATTCAAAAAGAAAAGAACAAATATCTATTCAGTGGAAGATTTTCATTCAATTCTCTTCAAAACAGACCAAGCAGGCAAAAATAAGAACTCTATATAATATAATTGACATTATTTCAATGGTTATATATAGAATTCTGAGTCTAACATCTGGCAAAATATATTTTGATTAACTATAAATAAAACTCCTAAAAATTAAACTTAAACACTTAAAAATTAAACACTTCAAAAACTAATGAAGTCATTAAATCTCCATAAGTAGAAAAGTTTTATCTGGGACACTATCTTTTCTTCCCAAAATAGAATTGCAAATTTACAAAAAATAATACAACAAACACAAGATACTTGAAAGTTTCAAATATATTTTTATAAAATTCCTGGATCAAAAAATAAGTCAAGATGGAAATTGGAAAACAAATAAATTCAAATAATAATAAAGTGGTGCCTATCAAAGAGTATGTAACATTGCAAAGTTGGTATTAGAGAAAATTTTACAACTTAAATGTTTACATTAGAAAGTAAGAAAGAAGAGGAATTAAGCACCATAAGAAACTACAGAAAGAACAAAATGTACACAATAATAACCCGAAAGTTGATGTTTTAAAATGTTTAAAATTGGCCTTTTGACTAAATTGTTTGAAGGAACAAAAACACGAAATTTGGATTTTTAAATCATTCATAACTGTAGATAGAGAAGATAATTTGAACCTTTGAGACTAGTACAAGTCTATGTACCTTTAAGAATAAAAGGAAAAATATTATACGTTAGCATCAACTCAAGAAGAAACAAAAAATTCTTTGTATACTGAAGCTACCTATTTAGAACCTGGAGGAGGGACTCTACTGCTATCATAATTTTCAAGTTAAAACAAAACAAGACGATCACTTCACTCGATACTGGGAAGAACTTAAGCTTGACCACAGTAAAAAGAGATGTGAATTTCCTTAACCTCATAGAGAATATTACATTAATTAGGAGTAGGTCACCCACACATGACTGAAACCCCTACTCTAGGTGCCAAGAGGAAAGCACACTTCTTCCTCCTATAGATGACAATGTTCCAAGGTGGGGACCAGATGGGGACCAGTGATGCCCTGGTGGCTCCAAGATATCAAACGGCACCCAGGCATTTCCCTGCTTGGGCATCACAGTGTGTGGCTTCAACGTGACAACTCAATACAGATGGTCATCGTCAGCTCATCGCCCCTGCTTTCCTCCTTCCTGTGGCGCTTTGCATGTGTTAAAGGTGGTCACAGCGGTATCTCCTATCCCAGATGCTCTTTTCAGCATGGCCCACCTCACTGTCCCCCGGAGTGCAGGCAGCCATTCCTCCACCCTTTAAATACCAATAGATCCTATCTGCTTTGACCAGGTCTAACACCACGCTGATTCCAGGCAGCCACTCTTCCTGCCTCTGTAAATGTGCCCAAGTGTCAAACACATTTAAACAAATACTGAACTTCATGATATACATGGATAGAATTAATATAAAATTCCCATATATTTTATAATATAAAATATAAATTAATTTCAATTTAATCTTTGCACTTGCCATCATAATAATAAAATATTCAATTTTTTTATTTTTTAAAAAGGGTAGAACTAAACAAAGCAGAATGAAACAGATCAGAAGAAAACAATGTAAGTGACAGATCTCAAAGCAAGACAACAGGAGATCTACAGTGGCTACCATAATGTCTCTTGTTTTCTTCTAAATAGTTGCCTATATCTTCACACATAATGAATTCATACAAAACAGAATAGTGTAAAACTGAGCAGAACAGAGTAATGAAAGCATTATAGCCCTTCAAAACTAGACAATAGGAAAATTAACAATGGCTGCC